AAATTGAAATATACACTGTGTTTGTCCCACAAATTTTGTTCATGCTCTGTATATTTATCTATTTATGTGCCCAAATTATTATCAAATGGTTATTCTTCTGGATTCGAGAGGAATACATCTTCGGGTTGCTTTATCCAGGGTCAAATTGCGCTCCTTCATTGTTGGTAATTCTTATTTTTAGAATTAGAATTTTTGAAAACTAAATTTTCATGGTGAAATTCTATGGCATATTTAGGTTGGTCTGATCGATATGTTTATGTTTAAAGACCGTCCGCTTGGTTTCATCAATGAGACAAAAATTGTTGCTCAAAATGGTAATCATGTTACGTATGAGAGCTGGCCAGATTGCTATCTTAGCCAATGGTATCCTGGACAGGCAAGTGGCTTTTTGATAATACGGCAAAGTTAATTTTCAAGTTTTTCCTAGGTTTTCAAAATTTTTGAAAATCAAAAGAAATTTTAGTCAACCCTTCAAGCAATTCTGGTTATAATAGCTGTAATTTGCGTGCCAATCATGTTATTTGGTAAACCGATTCATTTCCTGTTACATCGTAAGAAGAGAAATGCCGTTAGCGACAATGCTGTAAGTTCGAAAAACTAATTAAACGCCAAGAGAGTCTTAAAAGATAAAATGGTTAAGCATCGTATAATTTGGTTCTCTTCTTTTCTCGAGAAGTAAAAATACTTTCTAGAAATTTTCTTAGTCATTTTCAAATCAGCCGATTGCTGTTACGATTCATTTAATGTCTTTGGACAAAATCACCTTACTTCTGAGTAACAAATTTGAAAATTATGCTTTTATTTTTTGGTATTTTTGAGAATTACCTCTTTTTTTCAAGTTTTTACAGCAAATTTTCCCTTCATTAGGTAGTATGGATGAATCAGGAAAGCGAAAAGGCTGAAATAACTTTGAATGAAATTGGAAGCGGTTTAAATAAAAAAGATTGGGAAGAAACGACATTCGATAATGAATGTGAAGAAGAGGTGAGTTTCTGAGAAATTGCTTCAGTTAGTTATTTGATTCCTTTATAGATTCGCAACTCAACATTGAGCGAAAAAAGCTGGGTGGGATATGAAGGGATAGTTGTACTTTGATATTACAAAATTTATTTTGAGTCTTTTGCGGACGTTATGGTTCATCAAACTATTCACACAATCGAGTATGTTCTTGGTTGTGTGTCTCACACAGCATCGTACCTTCGATTATGGGCTTTATCACTGGCACATGCCCGTGAGTTACACTTAACATTTTGCTTTTTTCATACTTCTTTTTGTTTTAAAACTTGACACTCATCGATGGAATTAGTAATTTAAAAAATTCCCACTAAAACTACTAGAGAAATTTAAAAACGATATTGATTCGTTGACGGTCGTATTACTAACGAAAAATTTCATTTACAGATGTTTGCTGGGATTTCTAAAATGCAAATAATATTTAGAAAAGAGTTAATCGGTTGATTTTACATCCTTTAAGATTTTGGAGCTCCCAGAAGTTTCAAAAACCCTTTTTTTGTGTAATATTCCATTAACTCTACTAACATTAAGTAATGAATAAGGAGAATGCTACTTCAATTCCCCCTGAGTCTTAGGCCGAATTTAATTCCCTGAGTTTTAATTCCCCCTGAGTTTTAGGCCGAATTTACTTGTTCACTTGAATTGAAGAACTGCTAAGTTTAGATTTTTAGTATAGAACTTTTTACATGAGTATTGCAGAATTATCGGAAGTACTGTGGGAAATGGTACTTGTACAAGCCTTTGGCATTTCTGGCATTGCTGGTTACATTGCTGCTTACTTTATATTTTTTGCATTCGGTGTTCTGACCGTTTCAATTTTGGTACTCATGGAGGGACTTTCCGCCTTCCTACACGCACTTCGACTGCACTGGTCAGTTCTTACGAATTCACTTAAATCTTAAAAATCGAAATACATCATGGACATGTCATCATTTGCATCAGATAGTACAAATTGATTATATTTCAGAAAATTTGATTTATAAATAATTCCCATCTTAGATAAAATACTAAAAGTCGAAAAATTATTCCAGGGTTGAGTTCCAGTCCAAATTCTATCTCGGACTCGGTTATCCCTTTGTGCCTTTCTACTTCAAGGATGTGTTACTGAAAGCAAATGCTGGCGAAAAGTAAACCGATATCTTATTAGATAAAAAAGTGTCAACTCATCATTATCAGTGATAAATAATTCTATTCCCCGTATCATTTCATGCTAATGTTAAAAAGGATAGCATTCATTATGAGCACCGACAAAAATTACGAATTTCTCCATCCGGTTAGTTAAATGCTGAATGTTCTGACCCGTTTCTATCCTGTAAAATTTCCCGAATTCCTCTTAGCAATATACGGACAAGGATCTTTCCGATTTGCACATGCCACTATGCAAAGGTTAACATACATACTCTTCCAGACGCTCCAACCAGACTATCTTGTAACCCGAGCCTAATTTCATCTGCGTTATCACTCACGTTGTTTTCGCTATTGGAATTGACTGATTTCAATTTCGAAATCATACTTTCTAAGAGTCTTAGCAGTTGAAGTTGAAAGAATCACGTACCAACCATATCGTGGAAACCGTATTGCTAGATTTAATATGCCAAGTGAAGTCATTAGACTCCTGAAATTATACTACTTGGTCATTTTGCCATGTGTAGAAAGAGTGACTAAAGCTAGTGATAACATGAAATATGTGCATCAAAGAGGTTTAGAGAAGGCTAAACACTAATCTAATCAAATTTTTATTGGGCAAAAACCACCAGTTTCATTTAGGTGTAGCAAAATATAGAATGATTACGAAATCAAGGCAAGAGGCTTATTTGGCAATGCTTCATTCGACTGCCGATTGTAATCCCAAGATCACTAGAACTGCTTGATCCTCATTGGACTAGGCTTAACTAATGTGCGCCTTTTCTCCACTTATTCGTCGCTGGGTTAGTTATCTCCACTTTGGACTTGATGTATACTCGTCATCGCTTTTAATTTATATTCCTGGCAAAAAAAGTACATTTAAAAGGGTTCACAAGTATAGAAAACAATGGGGAGTGACGTATTATAAGCACCGAGAGTCGAAGTTTGAGCATAATAAATTACGAACATATGCGGAAAAATATACGAAATAAAAATTTCTAAGCAACAAAACAAAGCATGTGAAGAAAAAAACGAGTTATAATAATGCCAACAAAGAGAGAGAAGGCGCTGATGGACAATATAATCATTTCACACGACCGTTATAACTCAAAATTTAACAGCAGGACTCCAAAAGTAACCTTAAAACTACGTAATCTTGCATAGAGTTAATCAAAGATTCCAAATCATACCGTAAAGTTCGGTTGAAAATTCTAGAATTCTTATTTCATTCAGGTCTGAACATGATGTATCACTGATTCCAAAGAGACCATGGATAGTCCACAGAAAAGCAGTATGATAAAATTTCCAGACATATAAAAATGACTAAATTTAGAGTCTGGTAAATATTTAATAAAAACCGGGAAGAAAATGCAAGCAATCGGCTTCTCAGACAATAAAAAGGAAAAAGTGACTGATTTAATGACAAATCAATTTTACGAAGAAATTGTCAACAATTTTTAAGATAAGTTCAAAAAATGAAAAAATACAAAATATGCTGGGACATAAAATTGAAAATTTGATTCTGGAATTTATATTAAAGTCTTTAGCTACTTCCTTTTTCCCCTTCAATTAATTCTAGTTAATCCTAGTAGAAAATCTCAATTTTGTTTTATAATCTTCCGGACAAGACGACTGATAGTAACGCGAAAAGTTATTTTTCATGAATGGGTTGATTATATTGACAAATTTATGGACAAGAGTTAGACCGATGGAAAACAATTAAGGACAATGGTGGTAAGATATTTTTGCGATATGTGCAAAAAGATACCCGAATGATACAATAATAACTGTAGCAGTATACATATATATATATACTTTACCTTGTTGTAATCAAATTATTAGTATAATCATAACAACGCTTTTGCTTTTTAAACTACTAAAAAAGAAAAAATATTTACAATGCACGTAAGAACAATTTGCGATGAACATTGCACTCAGGTCAGTGCATCACGCGCTATTCATAACAAAAAATAGTGCTCTTTATGTCAGCACCACAATGTTAATTACTGATTAAACGTATTCAAAAAGATGTCATATCACTTTATAGCTTCCAGAATTTCTTACCACTACTAATATCCACTATCCATCAAATTAAGCAAATAAATATTCATAACTTATGATAAAACGGAAAGCCCCCGGGACTTAAATGAGTGATCAATAACTGAGCAGCTCTTCAAGATAATTACAAATACGCAAAGAAAGAATGCGCGTTTTGCTTGGCGAACAGCAAAACTGTGAAATTAGCAAAAACAATTGGAGGGTGATTTTTACGTATTTATCACAAATTGAGTGAGACCTTGTGATTATGACTGCCTTAATTTCAACATCAAAACAATTAATTTGAATTCTAACCTCCAAATGCCCATAATCCCAAATGAGTATTTTGTTTCCATACAAAATAATGAAAATGCATACCGTTTTCTTGCAAAAACCACATAACCGTCATCCCCCTAAAAATGAACATAAAATCCGCAATAAAATTTCAACAGTAGCCATTACAAAGGAAATCTAAAGAGAATTTGGAGGAATGAATGATAAAAAAAACTTAGTCACTCATTTGAACGAACTGATCGGGGTACACAATCGTCAGAAAGTTGCAGATCGTCACAAATCTTTATGATACTAACAATTACAGAAAACAAGCTAAGAAGGAAAAGAGTGATAACAAAGAAACTGAAAGAAAGCTTTATGTCTCACAAGTACTTCACCGGACAAACTTGACATAAATGACATAAATAGTTTGAATCCCTCCGCAAAGAATCAAATTTTAAGTAAAATATGTGAAACTTACTAGGTAATAGAGCAGTGTTCCAGTATACGAAGTCCAAAACAATTATTTCTGCACTACCACTACATTGATTTCACCTTTGCTGCAGCTTCAGTTCCTTGACTGCGCGTATATAAGCAATGAGTGAACTTAATGGTTTTGCCATTTGGATGAACGGATGCTGTAACAATTCTTCGGCATCAGCTCGTTCTTCCTGTTTCACACATAAGCAGCGATCCAGAAAATCGTTAAATTCTGGAGATAAGGAATTCTTTTTCTTAACTTCCGGTTTTCCATTTTGAGCTATTAAATATATCGCCTGAAACAACGGAAAATGACAAAAAGGTGAGAAAGGCAGTAATATCACTATTACTCGTTGGAATTGCTAAACCTAGTGATAACAAAAGCTGTTAGGTGAACCACCACTACCTCGAAATTTAATACAGAATCATTACTTGCAAATCTCAGCCTTAACTAAATGTTCGCAGAACTAAAATGTTGGTTACATATACTATCAAAATATACATGACTAAAAAACATTATATCTGCGCATAAGAATAAACAAACTTTGATGGGAGTTTCGTAAAGATATGGTGGTTCTCCATCCAGCATTTCCAAGGCCATGATTCCAAGCGACCAGATGTCTACTTTATAGTTGTATTTCACTTTATTCACAATTTCGGGAGCCATCCAGTACGGTGTTCCTACCATTGTTGCTCTTAAGTTTCAGAAATTATTAATTATATTCACTGGGAACAATAACTTTCGATCACACTTACTAACCTTTTTGATCCAGGCTGAATCTGAGCGCAGAAGCCAAAATCTGTCAATTTTACGGCACCTTGCATTCCCAGCAAAACGTTGTCCGATTTTATATCTCGGTGTATTATACTGTGACTGAAAAGATGGACTATAAACAAATTCAAAAGCGTAAAAATCAAGTAAAGTACATGAAATAATAACTAATTTCATGAAAATAAAATTTTCTTCCCTTGCTTTCGCTACAGTCTTTGGATATTGAGATCACGATCAGCTTACCTAATTGGTTATTTTTCTACCCCCACTTACTAAAAACAAAAAAACACAACTTGCAAGACTGCAAAATTCAATAGATGAAAACAATTATTTGCCTGTGTAAAAATTGCAGAGCATTCAAACACTCCTTCAGAACTGCAGCAATTTGACCTTCATCCAATTCAGTTTTTACAACAACGTCTGTTAAATTACCACCCTCCAAATAATCCATGACAACCCACAAGTCGTCCGCATCCACCAAAAAACTATCAATGTAGTTGACAAGATTCTGCAAAAGAGCTGAATTACTCTTCATCTGCGCAAAATTATATGAAGCCTTTTTATAAATAAATAAACACATGGACTTACTTCATGCTTGTATTTCTGCATAACTTTAATTTCCGTGAGCAATAACTCTTTCTTTGGCTGACTTTTGAATGCCATACGCTTTACGGCAACCACTTCACCCGTAACTTTGTCACGTGCGGTATAAACATGACCCGATGCGCTAAAAAACACAAAGATGTAGTGGCAACAAATTTCAGTGAAGCAAAGAATTAACAATAGAAAAACCTACAAAACAGGCTTTCACTTTAATATCAAAACTGACCAGTTATATTTATCTCTAAAATACTTTCTACCACCACTCATATTTTTATCGTAATTCATTTTTAATGAGATTTAAAGAAAGTTGTTGATTTGGATCTAAATTTTTGTGAATATTTTATAAATTCCATAGCTTCCTTGTAAGACAAGTGAACAAACCACCTTTTTTTAACAAATTGTCTCTTCTATTTCCAGAAAGCCAAAAATTACCCTATGCCAATCTTCTGAAGCAAATCATATCGGTCCGTTGGATTACCTTCATTAACTATTTGTTTCAGTTCTTCCAATATCTGGAATGAATATACTAAATCAAATTTTGCATAAATACGAAATAACTCATTACTACAGGGTCTATTAGCCGCGAATATGATCCATACAGCTTAGCAATAAGAATAAATAAAACTATTATACTTACTTCTTGATCACTAGGCTTTTGTCGTTGAGATTTACTCGAAGCTTCATCTGTTCCTTTATCATTTGTTTGCGCCCTCTTCCTAACTTGTACCTGAAAGATTTCATATATAGATTACTATGCGTATACATATCTCAATCTGTATAAATAAATCTCAAAAACAATTTTAATTCGGAACAAGAAATTCTAAAGAGTCAAAGAACTGCTACATGGGTCATTCTCAAGACATAGTAAGAACAAATTTATCGATAACAAACGTTATCACAAATCCCATTTGCTGTTTCTTTACTGCCGATATCAATTCTAGGATTAGCATTTGTCGTCTTGTCTTCCAATGTGACATTTTCTGAGCATTGCGTTGTTGCTGTCACTAACTCATTCCCGGTGTGCAGTTCAACAGCCATACTCAAATCAACATCATCAGAAATCTTGGAAGATGACTCGGACCCCAGACTATCTCGATCATCTTGCTGTGCTGTCAACTGCTCACTGATTGAACATGACGGTTTTAAATGCTGAAAATATACCAGTTGAATTATGAAATCTGATTAGTTTCTGAATAAAATAAGCTAGATCTCGACTAAGATTATAGTGCCGATGTAAACATTTTGCGAATTTCAACTGTGTTTTGAAAGATCTCCGCACCGCAATCTCGTATGTCCTTTCCCAAATATTCAAAAATCACTTAGGAATGAAGACCACTTTATAAACGTAAAGTAAACTGACTAAAGTAAATGACTGAATCTGAAAACTTAATAAATGTCTGACACAAAATTTTAAGATAAACCACGCTATTTTTCATTCTCCTAATTAATAATTTAAGAGAATTAAAATAATTAGTCCATATGTTTAACCATTGCAGACAGCTTATCTTACCGCTAACTCGGTCCCAATGAAGTCGATGTAGGCCGAAAATGGTGACATAACGCCAAAAGCAATTCGAGGCATAAATGGATTGCACATTTCTTAATTTTTTGTGAATGATAATGAACTTATCACTGAGAGGAAGCACAAAACTCTCAACTGACGAGAAGAAACGATTTAATGCCAGTGAGATGTAGCTTCCCGATGACTACCAGTTAGTTAAATAAATCAGTTTGTGTAAAAACGATAAATGATTTGTCTATCGGTGGTTTCGGAATACGATGAAAACCAACAAATAAGAATTTTCAAAATAGAATACACTCTTCCAATAGCTGAATATCGCAGCGAATATGCTACAGACCAACGTGAAACAATAATACATGTATGCAGACCTTATTATTTAAATGGTGATACGTCGCGGGTATAGGCAAGCACTAGTTATGTAGAGCACATATGAATGGGCAATCAATTTTAAACACAAGCATGTGATTTTTTTTTTTCTTTCGAAATTAGATGCGATAAATTATTGCCCTTAAAATAACATCAATACACGAAAAAAAGACACACATTTACCGAAATGTTAACGATGTTAGTATCACACTTGTATGATGATATCAAAACATTACCCTCTCCTCTCCGTTCCTTCGCTAGCCTTCCTGGTCCAATTTTCACTTGTTCTTCTCTCCTTTTTTTTATCTTTGCTTGAAATGAGTATAGTGTCGACGACGCAAAATTAGTGTCACGCATTTTTGTTCAAAATGAAAAAATCCAGTTCCCGCACAATATTCCCTCTGTTGTCTCACAAAGATTTTTGAGAAAATGAACAGATAAGCCAATTTAAATGTCATTATTTCAAATTACATAACATCAAATGCAACTGCTGCAAATCATGTTTCGTACCATACGGAAAAAATAATTTTCAGGGAAATGATCCTTTTCCTCTCCTGGCTTTTAAACGAATCAAACTTTGGCAAAAGAACGTTTTCATGAGCAGCGAACAGAGATAATGTCATGCATGTAGCTATCCACCATCATAAAAACGTGCTACAATGAACTGGATTTTTTTTCTGTTCACCGAAAGTCATCTACCAATTCATTTATTTCCTGAGCAAAATATTATGCAAATATCCATATTTAACTATCCTCACACCTATTAAATTTACCTGTTTTTTTTTGAACTATAATAGACATAGAATTAATTACTAATGGAAATCACTTAGTGGCGAATGTCAGCAGACTATGTCCTTCATATATTATTTTTGTGTTTTTCTACATTATGCTTGAATGAGATCTATGGCAAGCAAAGAAAATGGAGATATTACTCCTTGTTTTCTGGACCCTACCGTCTCTTCATTTTCAGAATACTCGCTATTCATTTTTTTTCTTAATAAAAAATTTAAATTATAATGCGTTTCAGTTCTGTCATCGAATAACAAAGTAATAATTGCTTCTTATTGGAATTGCTATAATAATCAACCAATAATGGTTACAAACCGCTGGTTTTGGTGGTAATGGAGGTGGTGTTTTCCGAGTACCGCTTTTTACTACTGATTTGATAAAAACTTCGTTCGATGAAACTTCAATACTTCCTTCATTGATTATTGCAGTACTGCAAAGTGATAAAAGTTTGAGTTGGGAAACAATTTAAAACACACTCAAAACAAAAAAATAAAAAGCAAATAGTACGGTACGGAATTTTTCAACAAACACAAAGTGAGTTATTTTAAAAACTATTATGGGAAGGTGCTACTTACCTATTTGAATTTCGCGATGGTGGTAATGGTGGTGCAGCAGGGTGCTGTGAATGTCGAGGAGGTATTATTGGTGGGGCGGCAGTTGAAAATCCACTAGTTGTAATGGATGGTATTGCCGTAGAGATCTCTGCTGAACTATCGCTCTCCATATCTCGAGACTCTTTTACTATAAACAGATGTGTTTTTCCTCACAAACAAAATTCTTTTTAAATATTCCGTCCATTTTCAAACGAAACCAATATGTTGATACTACATTATTATTCCATAATTTCGATAAATTTAGTATATTGCAAAATATTACTATTGCCCATATCATCCGTTTTTGCAACCGGCTGAATAGGCGCCGTAGATTCTTCATCATTTTCGTCGTCAAATGGTAACTGAGAATTTGTAATCATAAACTTCTGCTTATCAGCCTCCTGTGCCATTACAGTTTTTGCATAAAATTTCAAGGCCGAAACAACTGCTGAAGGATTCTTCTTCTGATCGGCTTCACTGCAAACGATTGTAAAAATTTGCAAATCAATGAACCATATTTTAATGTATTTCAGATGAATAAATAATTTCGAATATTTTAGAAAGAATCCAACAGTGACCTAATATCACGAAGCAATGTGTCCATCCAAGGTTGCGGCAAGCCTGTGAATTTCTTCCCATCATAGCCAACATGTATTCGATGGACGGTATTATAAGGAGAACTGATTTCTCCCGGCCCGGAATAGTATGATGCTGATGAAGAACTGACATCATTGTTATTAGAATTGAAAAAACGTCCTAATATGCTTCTTAGTCTGACCTGTAATAATGAAAGATACTTAAATCTCAGCAACTCAGTAATCACCACTTTTTAATGAATTTCATTCCATCACGACAGTTGCAAGACTTACGAAACCAAATAAGTCGCAAGAACAACCATATGAAGGATATACCGAGAAAGAACCTCATAATAACTCTAATGGGTATTAATTGTTCCTTTAGCTGCCATCATCCGATAGTAGGAAATATATTCTGGAGTTCTCGGAATTTCTGTAATAAATCTCTTCCCAGATTTCAACATCTCTTGACTAGCCGGTGTCACTGCCACATTACTCATATATTAAGCAAATTTGCAGTTCAAAATGTTTTAAAATTAAGAATAATATACCAAAAAAGAAATGTGAACGCTAACACGACTTACCTTTGATTTATCTTTCTCACGTGGCGTAGACATAATCGTGACGGTGTTTCACGATCTGCCCAAACTGGAACAAATAAAAGTGAAATCACGGAAATGTTCCCGACCGTATGATTAATGTCAAAGAAATTTTACCTCAAACATAATTTAAAAAACTCACACAGGCCAAGTGGACAAACAGCAGTGAGTTATGTAAGTGATACCTGACCCTTACTTCATGTGACTTTCCGTATCAATTTTTTAATTAAAACAAACATTCAAAAGAGAAATGAGTGCACCATAACGATGCGAACATCGGTGGCATTTTATAAAACCGAAAAGTTATATTAGGCGCTTAGACGTGCAACGACATTCAAAAGGCCAAACCCAGAACCTGTCTAATTTCTAATCTCAACTCCTGCTCTCTTCCCCTTCCCCACATTAAGTGCCCAATATCGTACCTGGACGAGACTAAAAAAGGACACCGCACTTCAATGCCTACCAGCAAACTCAAAGTCCAAAACGTAGATGTTATATACGGCCGTAGCTATGAGTCATAGTGCCCAATGCAATACATATGAATCATCGCATTTTTTACCCTTACCGTTGGGACTGTGATAAATTATCAATAAAAGAAAAGAGATAACAGAGTCGGCTTCCCATTATTCATACAGATCGATTTAATCTTTGAAAATCGCTAAAGTCATCAAAGCCAACTCATGGTTTGATAATCCTGTCTCATACCGAGATCCGATTTCCTGGTCCAGTTACTAAGAAGAAAAATCCAAAATCAAATCATAAATTTAGCATAAAATTGTAACCTTTCCCTTGAAATTGCGTGAAATTTCTTAGCGTTCACGCATATTTAGCCGCCGTATTGTTCCTTTGCTTTAAAAGTAAACAAATGAGGTCGGAAGTATTTTAAGGCGCGTTTTAATTTAAGTTCCAAAATATCATGGAACAATTTTTTCTCCATGACAAAGATATAATTGTTGTTTAACCGGTTGTCTGCAAGTGTAAAATTTCTTGGCAAATTCGCTGGAGTTCTTTCCAAAAACATCGTTGTAAACCAGGATAATCTTAAATCATCCAGAATTTCCGTTTCATTACTCAATATTACAGGATGTGTTTATGGGATAACTGAACTGAACATCAAACAAACCAGTGGCGAAAATTATGATGTCACTTTAAATGTTCATTCTGAGAGAATATTGCATTGTATTATTGTTCAGTATCAATGATTTTGTTGGAGACTTCGGTAACTGATATATCTCCCAATACTTTTACGGCATCTTTCCAATAAAATCTCCTATTATTACCGTTTAACTTATTGTTTTCCGCTATAAGCTTATTTTTTCATTAAGAAAAACCATTCGATATTATTATAAACGTAACAATAACAAATAATTCTTTTTATTGTTCCACTTACGTCACCTTTAAAAACGAAACAAAAAAATTTACTCAAAGTTCTCATATGAACATTGATCCGTGAATTCATTATTTTTTTACGTATTATCCGGGAAATGAAGCTCACGTAACCTCCCAAATCGATTCGCTCGTAAAATTGATATATGAACACGAAGTACAGCCATTCACCCATCTTCTAGATCTTTTCATAATTTACTCCTCTCAGATGTTTGCTATTAATTGATTGCTGGCAAGTTGGTGAATCTAATTAATTATTAATATGATTTTCTGACATTATGAATGAGAGAGAAAGCGAGAGACAGGAAAAAATAAAGCTGATGCCCTGCTGCAAATTTAGATTTTCAGTACAATAAAATTTATAAATACAATGATTCTGGAATTGTCCATTTTAGCAAAAACAAAGAGGTTTCCTCTCTCTTTTTCTAATCTATTTCATCCTTCTCTGTCAAGTCGATAAGCTATATTATGCTCTTCTTGACTTGTTGAAAAGCAAAAAAATGAGACTGGGAATTGGGAGGATAAATGATAGCCAAAGTGAAGGCCAAATTCTGATTGGCTTCAACCGGCTGGTAAATTTTTACTTGGTATGCTAATGTGAAATGTGAAATTTGAAAAGGATGGAAAGGAGGTAAAATGAGGGGAAAAGGAGGAGGAGAAGGAGGAGGAGGAGGGAATGGTCTTTTGATCAATATCATGATTATTTGAGCCTTTCTCACTCCTCCTCTACTTCAAAAGGTCCACCCTTAAGCTGTAAGGTTTGCCTATATATCCCCCCTCCTTCCTCTTCCATTGGGCCTTTCATTAAACAAACGAAATTGCCCCGAAAAATGCCGTAAGTAACAGAAAAATATTCATAAAAACAGTCACTTCTCTTTTCCATCAAACCGTATGCCTTCTTCATACTTCAGCTCCACTCAGCCTATTCTCCGATCCTTCAATCTTGATTTTTGGCTTCTGCCAATATTTTCTTTTTTAAACCACTTTTTCTCATGATATTTTTGGCTATTGCATGGGAAAAGTTTTATTAAAGAAATCAAATGTATTTTGAAGTTTTAGGTCCACTAAGGATGATTGGACCACAGATCATACTTAAATAGGAGAAAAAAAAATATATGGAACTGGCTGGTAGTTAAGGCTTGATTCTGAAACATTGTCTACCATTATGATGGAAATCCTCTGAATTAGAATGAGAGGATAATAGGAAGCGGAATGAGATTTAATATTATCGGTTAAAAGAACAATAAGTTCCTTCAATTTACCAAATTTGTTTTTATAAAAGCACATAGGGGCTTTCTTCAAAACTTCATGCACATTTTATTTCACACCGACTTGCCGATTGTTGACAACTCATCGGAATTCCTTTCTCCTCATTTTCGGAACAACGCAAGGCGAACGAAAATGAAATCAGCAAAACAGTAGGTGGTAAAAGTAAGTGGGAAATCAATGACAACAGATTGAAGGAAGTAATCAATGCGCAAAATTGCCATCGTCCAATACCCTATTGTTGGGGAATAAGCTTTTTGTGACAATTCATTTATCTGCATGTGTAATCGAAATTTACTTCATTGCTCATCATTCATTTGATTTGTTGAACTGTTCATCATCATCATCATCCCAACATATTAAACATCAATCCACTCAGATTATAGCAAATAGATGTATGTGCAGCGCGGAATTTCGTTTTTTTCCTCCGAGTTTCTTTATTAGAATAATCACATATCAGAATTAGAATTTAAAGCCAAATTCAAAACTAACGCTTAAAGAATTGATTTGTTTAAATTTTGTTCCAGAAGTTAGTTATTGCAGTTCAAAATACATCAAAACTTCAGAAGATTCAAAAATAGTTAGTCTGCCCTAATAATGTCATCAGTTACGCCATGTAATTCAGAGTGCACAGTTGCTGGCATTAAATATCACAAACTTGAAACGTAAAACAGAAGATAGTTAGCAGGGTGAAGTTAAGGAATCGAAATATATGAGGAAATAAAGGATAATATGAAAGAAAAAGATGTGGAATGAAAATGAACAAAAAGAAAGAAGGAAGAAGAGGTTGCAATGAAAGCATTTAATAAATTTTAGGATCTAAATTTGCAAATTTTAGATTTACCAGGAAACTTTTTAAAATTTACACAAACAAAGGTTTAAATTATGGGTGCAAAATAAGTCATTCATTCATTTGCATATGGCCGATTAATTCATTCAACATTGTTATGGGCTTTAAATGCCAAAGGGAAAATGTGCCTGCCTTTTTTTTCGGATAAAATGTATCATTCTAAAAAATTTAATTATACGGCCTTCTTTTTTTATAGATAAAACTTGGGTAGGTGTAATGTTTCCTTCTTTTCAAGTTTAGAAAATTAGAATTATATATTATTTCCTGAATTCTCTAAATCTCATTTTGTTTCAGTAATATTTCAGCAAGTTTGTTTTTTCCAACCATCAGATAATTATAGATAAAAGTGAGAAAGCCTAAGAAGGCATTGTTAACTTCAGTAACCAAAATTGTTGCACTGAAGTTTTTGATGCATTACTTATTACTTCATATAAATCAAAGCTATGTAAATTATTTTTAAAATTCCTCTTGTAGCGATACTAATATATTCGAAGGAGCGATTGTCTCGTACTCAGTCCTATTGTCTTACTTGAACTTCTTATTTGCACTCCAAATTCATTAAGAATATTTTCGGCATTTCTAGACTTGAAATCTAAATTACGCTGACATTCTGATTATTCTGCAAATTGACACTTTTTTTCATGAAAATTTTCAGCTTATTTTGTCTAAAAGTGTTCATTTCAAGTTTTTGCGGATCATTTATGATGATTAAATGTTAAAAGATCATAGTTCATATCGCTAAACCAGTCGAATTAGATTTGCTTTATCGCGGAACTGGGACAACCATTCTTTTTAAGTATCTTGTCTAACCGGACTCCCTCTTTATTCATCAACGATGTTAAATTATTTAATATCTCTCGAAGTAAAAGAATTAAAGTCAACAGCCAAGTGAAGAAATTGAGAAAAAACAACGTTTTATCTTATTGTCAGGATTATTAAGTCTTTGAGCAATGCAAGTCTCTGAAAACTACTAAACATTTGACCATTCCATTTATTTGATCCGCTCAAACTAATAATGATTCGGAAGACTAAGACTGATTTTATGTGTCCAAAACGTGATGAATCAAATCCAACTGCCTTTCATCTTATGATAAAAAAAAATTGATATTCCAAATCAAATTTAGGATTTGACAAAAAAGAAGGAAATGAACATTTGATCAACCGATCATTCAAGTACCATTTGTTATCACGTAGATTCTAATTCCTTCCTGAGTTGGAAAGTTCGTTAGATTCACTACGCTATAGTTTAAGAGCGTTTAATAGATGTAGTGCCTACCTTTAAAATGATGAAAAAGATAAGCTATGAAGAAATTCTGAACCCTAAATTTTCATTTAAAAAGCTAATAAAAAAAAACATGAAAAGTGGCCTCCGCAGCCATTACCTGTCCCCTATACTATCTTGATTAGATGCTCTGACCCCAGCAAAGACCAAAACTTCTAAAACTTCCGAAACGCAAAAAAAGACAAATATTGGTTTCATGACTGACGAAATATAATAAACAGTTTGTAAACTAAT